TTGGGGGCTGATCTGCAGACCCCTTTTGGTTCATTTCTTTGTTCAGTCTTTGGCTTCTCTGCTGTCCCCTCTCCATAGTTCCAGGCTGGTCCTGGGTGGTTTTGCACCACCAACGTATTGTGTGGGTATTAAAATCCTTCCATGCAGTCAACCCTGGATCTCTTCTGGAGTGGGGTTTTGTATTTTCAGGAGTCCTGTTTTCTTCAAGAGACAGAAACAGGCCCAGGATTGTCCATCATAGCGCCTTGAGCCAAAATGCAGCCAGGTTATATGTAACCTGAGGCCATTTAATTCGGTCTGGAGAGAGGGGCTGTGGAAGCTTAGGGGTTTTGATCTCTGAGTCAGGGGTCCATTGTGCCAAGTGCTGTGAGCTGAGATTAGAGTGCAGAAGAAAACAGAAGGGATCTTGGTTTTCAGCCTCCTCTGCCTGCAGTGATTTACAGCAAAAAATATCCTGGCAGCTCAGATCTGAAAGGGTGACCTAGGCACAGGGCTCCTTTGTCCAGCTCTTTAACAGCCTGGTTTTACTGGCTAATCCAATTGTGCTTTGGCTTGGGCCATAGAGTTTTTCTTTGTTGTTGCTCCTGGTTCCTAAGCAAAGGATCTGGAAGTTGCATTTGTCTATCTGTCTGCTCGTTGTACTCTTGCCCAGATATCCAAGCTGCTGACTTGGAAACACTTCAAAGTTTTCCATTCTGCAGAGTGGCTGTCTCGACTGCTACTACAGGGAGTTTTTAATGTTTTCTGATTATGGAGCAGCATTTATTATTATGCTTTATAAGATAGTGCAACTTTATTTATACATCTTTTTTGGTTAATATATAAATCCCTCGTTTGGAATATGCTGGACTTGATGAAACAGCTAAGATTTTGCTAATGTATTACCACAGAAGTCAGAAAATCGGAGGAAGGCATCTGGACAGATTTGGCAAGTTTTTTTGATGATTTAATCCCTTTTTCTCATCTCCCTCATCTCCCCTCCATCCCTTCTTGAGACAAATGTAGAGATTTGCTCTGGGTGCACTATCAAATTCTCTGGTCTGGCATATGGCTCATATGTCATCTTTCTTGTGCTCTCAAACTTTTCCTCCTGTTCTCATCTTCCTCCTGCCCTGTCATTGCTCTTGTACACAATTTATGAACGCCTCTCTCTGCATTCCTGTCCCAGGCTTACCCATCTTGTTATATCTCCTCATGCCAGCAAAGATGCTGTTGGTTTGCCGTGTGGTGCTAAGAGGTGCTGGTGTTATCACATACACTATTTGCCTGGCTTGCTGTAGCCTTGCTGATGCTTCAACGGTCTTGCTGCTGCTTTCAGTGAAAGCCCATTCTGCTTCTATTCCTCTTCTATGATTTATTGTTCCCCAAAAGGTGTATTGTGTGTTTGGTTTTGTTCAGCATCAAAGATAGGTAATATTCTGGGGGTGGCTAACACCTGACTTAATGTGCAAATTACAATGCTGATTGAAAGTCCAAACTTAAAACGAATGTAGGTGTGAAGTCCTTTTCCAGGATAATTATGAATGCTAAGAGTTTACATAAGTTCAAAAGTTCTCAGGCAAATATATGGAAGCAAAATCAGCAAAAAGCTGAAACCCCTCCCAAAGGCACCACTGCTAGTTTATAGAATCTCTGGACTGAAGGCTGCTGGAGTTTGAATCTGTTTTGCAAGTTTTAGCACTGTGGCCTTGCATGCTTTCCTTGGCACTGCTGGCCACAGGACACTGGACTCTTTGGACTTCCATCTTAAGCTGATGCAGCTGCTCTTTTCTGGGCTTGCTGATTAACTCTGCACTTAGAATACATATTTCTCATTTCATTCCTATTATATCTATGTTTAAAATGTAAGGCTATAGGGGTACAGTCATTCCTGGGTCACTTTTCTCAGACCCTTTCCTCATTGGCAAGTGGGCCTGGCAGTCCCATTATAAGCAATGCAGACTGCCTTTTCAAAGTCATTAGGTTGTTTGTCCCATTGCTGCCAAGAGGATGTTTCATGCCTTCATTTTCCAGTGCTTAAAACCCATCCTTTCAATTCCAGCTAAATTTATTCATGGCCATTTTATATCCATTTGTCCTAGGGCCAAATTTTTTCCTCAGCCTAAGTATCTCTCTGCCTTCCTCAGTGTTTACTTCTCTCTTTACACCCAGAGTGTCTGAGGGGAACAATCCAGTTGTCTCTTGGCTATCATTTTGTTAAGGTGACTGAACTCTGATCTTTGAGCTCCTAATGAGTTATGTCTCTGGTACCATAATGATTTCCTTGGCAGGTTTCTGTGTGGTTCCTTCTGAGTTCTGCACACAGCTGTTCAGGTGAAGCCTTCTGTGAGAATGTCCATGCTCCCTTCTCCACTGGTTTTCTGAGACCTGATCTGTCCTTTTCATGGTTGTCACCCTGCTGGTTATGCTTGTCCTTATCCCTTAATGGGCTCATATATCCAGGGTGTCCTTCTACTCATTTCCAAATTATGAGCCCCTGGTCATAACAGTAATCCTTATTAAACCCTAAATGCTTAACCTTGCACTTTGACTATTATATTTCATCACATTTCTATTCCTTCAGAATTCAAGAACATCTTGTTACTCCTGAAAGATATTCTGAACTCCCTGCTATTGGCAGCAGTTCCTGACTTCACACGGTCAGCAGATTTTGTTAGTATACTCTGACTTTTTGTGCCAAGGTCATTAATGAAAAGCTGAAATAAGATCAGTCTCAAAAGATCCTTGAGGACTTCACATATAAGTTCCCTCTAGACTAATAATTCCTCTTCCAGCACAACTCCTGTCATTTAGTCTTTAACCAATTCCTTTCCCACATTGTAATTCTTACACTAATCCCCATGTTCTCCAGCTTGGCTAATAATTTTCAGTGTGGCATCATATCAAATGCTTTCTTGAAGTACAGATAAATTGATCTATCACATTTCCCTTGTGTAGAAGAAGTTGATTTTCTTAGCAAAGAAAGATACCAAGTTAGGTTGGCTTCATCTACTCTTCGTAAATCTGTTTTATCCCTTAAAATTATTTTACCCGTTTTGCAGTTTATCCTCATGTCTTTTATTTTTTTTTCTCTCAAAATCTCTTCTAAAGCAATGCATATCATTGGAGTCAGTCTACTGGGCATGGACCAGGCCCTACCTGGGCAGCTGGAACTGGAGATTAGACTGAGAACATGCTCTGGGAATTCTGGGATCCTCTGAGGATGAATGAAGTTGTCTGCATACAATGTGGTTCACAGACTTCCCCAAAAGTATTGGAAGATCCAGATTTGCTGATTTATTGTCTGAAGGGAGGTTTGCTGACACTGTTGTCTTCTTTATGACAGTGGTGTAGCTCTGCTGAAACTCTTAGCAATGCTCATAAGCACCTACAATATAAAACAGATGCCTGGAGGAAATACTGAGAACTCTTCTGCTTGGAGCCAGAGATATTCTGGTCATTCCTCCATTGCTCTGCTGCTCTGGCAGGTGATTGAGACATCACATTAGGCCAGTAAAATATAGGTATGCAGAGCAGTCTCTCTTTAAAGACATACTGGAGTGTGAGCTTTGGGAGATGCTCTGGGTGGAATTTTAATTTGCTTAGAGTTGTTTACTTTGTCCTAGGCTTTGAAGTTGTGGAGAGACTCAGTGATTGGTGGCTGTAGAGTGTTCCTTTGCTGAGCAGGCTGAATAGCTGGGGGATGACATTACTCCTTCACCATCTGAATGATTGCTGTTCAGTTGGAGCTAAGGAAGTAATGACAGCATGGCTCTTCTTCCACTGGTGAGGTTTTTAGCTACTGATTTCCTGTTCCATCTCTATTTGAGAGTGTTTTCTTCAGTTTGCAAAGCTGTTGCTGAACTCTGACAGACTCATTATGAAAGAATGACTTTAGATAGAGATGTTCAGCAAGAACCAGCTCTTGAATCTTAGTCTCAGCTGCTGTTAGGACACACAAAGAACAGGAGCTTGGTGACAAAAAAAAGTTATTTTCTGCAAGATGATAATTGGCTCAGTATGGAATTTAATACAATTTTATTTGGGGATTGGTTTGTAAAGAGTTTACATTTTGAGGAATCCTTGCACATGGAGGTTTTTGTAGCTGTATTTATTTAATCAGCTCTGGGCACTTGAAGCTTCACATGCAGTAAGCCATGTTAGAACAGGGATCTTGCTCCAGCAGAACACGACTGGAAAAGGTCTTTTGTGAGACAACTGGGATGGAGATTTTACCACATGAGGAAGGAACTTGCCTCCAGAAGTTGGGGAGCAAGGATGTCTCAGTTGAACGTCTCAAGCTGCAAATGTTAGTGACCAGCTCCCAGCCAAACCAGTCAGGCAGGTTCCCTTGCTTTCCTGCACAATGAAATGATGCAGAAGGTCTTCAGAAATGTCTGTCCCTGCCCTTACTCACTGCAAGCAGTCTTACTACAGAGCTTTAGCACCTTTCCTACCAGTCCATCTCTGAGTGGGGCCCTCTACACACCCCTGCAATGCAAGGTATGATTGCAATTAAAAGAAATTCAGTTTTGTTCTCAGTTAAAGCTGGGAGGGAGGATAGGGGTGAAGCTTGTTTTGAGAAAATATAAAAAGGAGTGGGATTTGCTGGAAATATTGACATTGATATCCCAGCTTGATATGGAAGTTATCTGCTGATGCAGACAGAGGCACTTGTGTCTGGACTTAGCAAGTGCTAAGTCTCTGGTACAAAGAAAAAGCTTTGGGGCAGCAGTTTAAAGACTTGTTAGATCACTTTGTGGGTGTTGCTTTAAATTGTAATGGTCACTACAAATCAGTGTAACAGTAAAGCTAGAGGGCTAATGGTCTTTTAGAATAACTGAGTCAGCTGCAGAGGCTGGATCCTCTGTTGGTGTAAAACATTGCAGTTCTGTCAAAGTCCATCATAAACTGTCAGTTTAGACCATCTGGGAAGCCTGGCCCAGAAGACTGTGAAGATGAAGGTTACAAAAATTATTGAAGAAATTGACATTATTTCTCCATCTCTCTTTTTTCCCCAGGGCAGCCATTGGGGCTCTGGCAGCTCTGCTGAAATCAAGTAAGCTTTTTTCTTCATATTCTTTCTGACTTTTCTTTCTGTGCTATGCTGCTGGACAGAGTGATCCTGTTGAACTCATTCTCCCTTGGTATTCCCTCATCCCTTGGTCCCAAAGAGCAATGCACAGGAAAGAGGCAGTAGTGCAGGAGTCTCCTATACCAGTTCTGATCCTTGGAGTGCCCCAGCCCTGTGGGAGACGGTGCCCTGAGTGCCCAGGGAGCCAGGCTGGACCCTCATTTTGAGTATTTAGAGACCATTGGTTGTCCTGGGGCTTGGTATAATGGGAGGAATGGGAAATTTCTCCAGCCAGTGATAAATACTTATTTCCCTTCCCAATTTGTTGTTTCTTCCATGGAAAGGGAGAAAAGGATGTAAATAATAGCAATGCTGTTTGGGTGTGCATGGTAAAGTGATTTTAGGGAAAGACATCATCTATTTTAAGGTTGTTTTTTGTTTTTTAAGGTACTAGAGCTGGAATTTAGGAAATGGTGCTGATACTGTAAAATCAAATAGAGCATCATGTACCAGAAGTCAGCCTGACTGGTGTTTTTTGGATTATTTCTGCAGTTCTAAGTGGACAAGAATGTATTCTGTTTTTCTCCTTGTTCTGTGGTTCAGGGCAGGAGAAGCTCCAGGCTTTTGGAGCAGTCTGCTCTCATAGCTGCATACAAATGAGCAGGTTGTGTCTTCTGGGAAGTGTGGGTCAGGAGATGTGAGAAACAGCTCTGGTTCCTTGAGATAAATTCCCCATGCTTGGAAGAGCAATGAGTTATTTTTCAGGATTGCACCAGGACATCTGTCTTTGTCACAGTTAACATATCTGTGGCCCTGGCCTCAGTGGTGCAGGGATTCTTGGAAAGGTAGGAATCAAATCTGGTGAATGCTATAGCATTTTAAAATTGCTTATGAAGGCAGGGGTAAAGCTGTACACAGAAAAGCACCAGGACGCATTTGAGTATGTTTTAGTTGGGATGCAAACTAAACAGAAGGCAGGAATCCTGGAAAATGCTACAGTAGTGAAGTGGTAGACTGATTGTGAGGTTTTTTTGGGAAAACCTTGCTGGGAAACAGTGGGGGATTGTGTTTTGATGTTGCTGAAGGCTGTAAGACAGGACAAGAACATGGCAATCTGGGGGTATCCCTGTAGGCCTGTCCTTGAGTGTTCCAGCCCAAAGAGATCCAGGGGATTATGGTTATCCATGGGGCTGTGCTGGAGGTTCAGTGTCCCTCTTGCTTTTAGCAGAGCTGCACTGACAAAGCAGTTTTAAAGGGAGCAGGCAGATGGCAGTGTGTCTCCCTGATGGAGTCAGAAACATCCATCTTCATCTCAAGGCTTCCACTTGAGACTTTGTCCACCTGCAGAGCCATGAGCTGGCTAGAAACTGTTTGGCTTCTGTCTCCTTCCTAACAGACGTTGATGCTAAATGCTCACTTATCAGGTGCATAACTGCAAGGAGCAAGATATGCCTGGGAAAGAGACATCAATGTGAGAAAAAATTACCAACCCAGATGGACCTGGGAAATTGTTGCTGTTGTGTTTCAGAGGGGGAAGTATAAGATTGTCTAAAGAAATAAGTGATGGAGCACAAGAAACTTGTGCTACAGGGAATAAATGCTTGGAAGCCCAGTGAGAGATGAGAGACCTTGATTGTGCTGTGTTCCTGTATCCAGTGACTGCCACGTGGTGATAATCAAAGAGATGGTGGATAATGGAGGAGTATAAATTTAGGTCTCTTCTAATGGCAGTGCTGCACCTTTCTATCAGTGAAAGCTCAGATTATTGATATGGAGAAGACATTTCTTGTCTGATCATCAGTTTGCTGTTGTGTTTCAGAGGGGGAAGTATAAGATTGTCTAAAGAAATAAGTGATGGAGCACAAGAAACTTGTGCTACAGGGAATAAATGCTTGGAAGCCCAGTGAGAGATGAGAGACCTTGATTGTGCTGTGTTCCTGTATCCAGTGATTGCCACGTGGTGATAATCAAAGAGATGGTGGATAATGGAGGAGTAGAAATTTAAGTCTCTTCTTAAGTGCTGCACCTTTTTATCAGTGAAAGCTCAGATTATTGATAAGGAGAAGACATTTCTTGTCTGATCATTGGCTAGTCTCTCACTCCTGACTTGTCTCTTTGCAAACATCCCAGAGTATTTTACCAGACTTTGCATGCTGCTCTCCCAGGTGCTGTTCACCACCTGCCATGCCCACATGCACTCAGCAAACAGCTCATAGCAAGTTCCTCCTCCATTGCCTGGCTGCCTTTTTGAATGTTGTGTTTCAGAGGGGGAAGTATAAGATGGTCTAAAGAAATAAGTGATGGAGCACAACAAACTTGTATTTCATCCACAACAGGGAATAAATGCTTGGAAGCCCAGTGAGAGATGAGAGACCTTGATTGTGCTGTGTTCCTGTATCCAGTGATTGCCACGTGGTGATAATCAAAGAGATGGTGGATAATGGAGGAGTATAAATTTAGGTCTCTTCTAATGGCAGTGCTGCACCTTTCTATCAGTGAAAGCTCAGATTATTGATATGGAGAAGACATTTCTTGTCTGATCATCAGTTAGTCTCTCACTCCTGACTTGTCTCTTTGCAAACATCCCAGAGTATTTTACCAGACTTTGCATGCTGCTCTCCCAGGTGCTGTTCACCACCTGCCATGCCCACATGCACTCGGCAAACAGCTCATAGCAAGTTCTTCCTCCATTGCCTGGCTGCCTTTTTGAAATCCAGTGATTGCCACGTGGTGATAATCAAAGAGATGGTGGATAATGGAGGAGTAGAAATTTAAGTCTCTTCTTAAGTGCTGCACCTTTTTATCAGTGAAAGCTCAGATTATTGATAAGGAGAAGACATTTCTTGTCTGATCATTGGCTAGTCTCTCACTCCTGACTTGTCTCTTTGCAAACATCCCAGAGTATTTTACCAGACTTTGCATGCTGCTCTCCCAGGTGCTGTTCACCACCTGCCATGCCCACATGCACTCAGCAAACAGCTCATAGCAAGTTCCTCCTCCATTGCCTGGCTGCCTTTTTGAACTGCTGTCTCTCCACCATCTTAACTCTGACTCTATAATAAGGCTGAACATTCTGATTGGTAAATACCTACAGTGGTGCTGAATTGCTGTGAGACCATCAGGAGATTTTTTTGTCTTTCTCTTTGATGTTATAATCAAACTTTCCAGTGTTACTCATGTCCATTTTTCCTCCTTCAATTTCTAGATGCTCACTACAGGCCATAGTGGGGAGAGGAGGCAGATCCTGGTAGCTGTAGATAAACTGAGATGGGGTGAGGCACTGCAACTTTCCCAAAGTCTACTCTCTCTGTCCCAGAGTGAACATGCCAATTTTTATAGCTTCCTTTGGCTTTGCACTAGCTGTAGATAAACTGAGATGGGGTGAGGCGCTGCAACTTTCCCAAAGTCTCTCTGTCTCAGAGTGAACATGCCAATTTTTCCAGCCTCCTTTGGCTTTGCACTACTTCTTCTCTGTACATGTGTCTTCATATCTTGATTCAGCTCTGTACTAAGGCCCGAGGAGCTCATTGTGGAGCACTCCTGTGTCTTTGAGATCAAGATGTGGAGGGGCTGGAGCCTGTTTGAGCAGACGTGGGATGCCCTCCAGGGCACTCCTGGCCATGGGGTCCTTTGCTCAAGTGACCCCAAACCCCAGAATAAACCAGGCAAACCATTCCCAGTTTGGGGGCAGTGGAATAAAGCTGGACACTGGCTACCCAAGCACAGACAAACCAAAGCCAGGGGTGCTGAGGCTGGAGGGGATGTGAGGGAGCAGGAGCCACACGGTGGCGATGTGATTATAGGGATCCCCACCGTGCCTAATCCAATGTGTATTTTGGGTGAGTAATTTGTTTATCAGCAGGTTATTTTAATCTAATTTTGGTCGTGTTTGTTATTCCCGACTATCTGTGCTTCCCAGAATTACAGGCGTGCATGTCTGTAAGGAAATTAGCTCAAGCTACTCTCAGAGGCATTGGCTGAGCAGATATTGAGGGAGAAGGCTGGGGAAACGGGCAGGGCCCTTGGTGCAATGTTTGCCTGGTAAAATTGTAATGGGCAATTTAAGAAGACAGGTTGTGGTGACCTCCTGATGGTGTTGATTTCATCAAGACCATTCAGTATGCTAACAGCAGTTACTGCTGATGGCCTTTCCCTTCTCTTTCTAAATCTCCCTTCTTTTGCTGTCTTTATCTTCTTGCACAGCTTTTCATCTCTCATTTTCCTACTCTTTCCTCCCCATCTTCCATCAACTAACCTTTATTTAACCTTTTACCCACTTTTTTATCAAACGACAAAAATTATATTTTGTGGCTGCTGGGATGAAATAATCACTGTCATTCTTTTCCTTTTATGTTGGCATCAGGGAGGGGCAAGTAACTCTGAGGAGGAGAAAGGGATGTTCTAGCACAGAAGCAGATTAGGCAGTGTGAAAGGCCTGCACTCTCTGCTACTGAATTAATAATGCTTGACAACAGATCTAGAGAGGGAGGTCTTTGATCTCGAGTCAAAATACCCCATTGTTAAACCATCCCAGTTCCTGTAGCCAGCAGCACAATGTCTGGGATTTGCCTCATGCTGCACCAGGTACCCAGCTCTCATCATCCATTGAAATCCTTATTATCCATCTCTGGATTCGAACTCCAGTGTCAGCCTGGTTCCAAATCCGTGATCACATCTTGTTGGGTATTGTGATCAGAGTTGAATTTTGCAGTTCCTTTCATGATAATCTAAACCAAGCATTGCCTGTGTTTTCTTTCTGAATTTTAGAATGCAAACAGTCTTGATTCTATACTTGCATCTCTTTGAGAAGAGCCACTTTGTGGGAAAGAAAATAATTTTTTTATGTCCTTTATATTCCCTTCCCCAAGACTGTTCATTCATAGACATATTCCAAACTGAAAGTAACTCAGTGCTCCAGAGAAAAGTATTGGCTTTTTCTCCTGGGGCATGACAACTTCCTGATGTTTTGCCTCTCAGGGTAGGTGCAATGAAAACTAAATATTGAGGAGCTGCATTATTCTCTGCTGACATCCTTAATGATGATTGTTTACCTCCTTGTCTTGGCATGGGCAGTGTTTGTGCCTCCAGTGATGATCTGGCTTCTGTAAATTCAGTGCCTGAATTTGAGGAAGTCTTCCAAATTCTGGTGTCCTTATTAAAACCCTTTCAAACCACTTCAGTCGGAAAAAAATAAAACTGTAGATTGTGCTATTATATTTTTTTAAAATTTTCTTTCTGCTTTTCTGAAAAGCAAAGAAGGAAAGGCAAACTGTTTAGGGCAAAACTACAGGACAGCCTTCTGGCTTCCAACATGAGTTGAGCTAATACCACCTTCTTGCTGTAGAGCCCACTGGGTCTGAAGTGATCCCAGCACTCCATGTGTGACTTGGTTTCTTCATGGGGACAATTACCTTTGTTTCTCTAGAGAGCCCTTGTGCTTTTCTCTGCAAAAATGGCCTCTCAATGACCAAATAAAACAGCTGTGTTCTCTTTGCTGTAGGAGGTATCTTGCATTTTTTTTTATTCCTAAGAGGCAATCACTAGAGCAGAGTGGGGAAGTTGGAGTTTTTCTTATTCCTTTCACAGCTTTAGGGGCCATAGGGTTAATTTAGCAGAGTATTCTTATCTCCAAGCTGTAGCAATGTATGTTCTTGGCATAATGAATCAGCTGAGTGGCATCAACAAAGAGATTTCAGCAGATAGACAGAAAGATATTTATCTCTTTGTTCTGCCTGGTAAGCAGTGCATTGCTCATCATATTTCAGGTTGACTGTAATTCAGTTTTTGATTAAATACCCTGCATGTTTTCCAGTGGTACCTGTGTTCTTGGCAAACACTTCAAAGGAGCCAGGATTGCAGAGAGGGCTTCAGAAATGTCCACAGTAGCACTGGTGGTCGTGAGGCTTTCACCTCCTAGACTGAAAACCTGAATGTAGGGCCCCACCACAGAATGAGCATTCTGTCAAAACTGGGGATTTCTTTCTAGTGAGATCCCCTTGCTAATTTAAACATAACTTGAACCATTTGAGGCTTCTGCTTGTTGGCTGGAGACTCATGTCAGATGTTTCTGGTGAGCTGCATAGGTGATTCAGGTCTCATGTTTTGAGCTGCAGAGCTCAAACTTTCACTAATGAGCAGCACTGCCCTGGAAGCCACAAATTGAGGGACAGGTCTTGAAATGTGGGAAACTAAGAAAGCTTTGAATGCTTTCCTTTCACCCTGGTCTCATCAGGCAGAAGTGAAACTCTTGCAAAGAAAATGGGATTCCAGGTTTGGGGTGGTGCTGAAGATAGTGCTCCCCTGTCAGAGATGGCAGAATAAGTTTAGGAAGACAGACTGTCACAGAGGAAGAGATTGTTCAGACAGATCTGATCTAATAGTTAGTTTAGTTGTAAACAATAAACCCGGATATGTAAAATATTGAATAAGTACAGATGGATTGGAGGGCAATACTTTACTAATGGCAGAATAAGTTTAGGAAGACAGACTGTCACAGAGGAAGAGATTTTTCAGACAGATCTGATCTAATAGTTTAGTTTTAAACAATAAACCTGGATATGTAAAATATTTAATGAGTACAGATGGATTGGAGGGCAATATTTTACTACACTTAAGATGGGATACAAAGATGAGCACATAAATGCACTATGTCTTGAATGTCACATGCATGCAAAAAAGCTGTTTATCAACCCATGCATGTCTGGTGTCAGGCAAGGGATCCCTCAGCCTTGAGGGGTAACCCTGGGAGCTGTCCCTCAAGGGGAGGTCAGTGCCACACATCCAGCTGCTGCAGAGAGAGAGTTCATCCAATGACTGCAGATATGGATAGCTTAAAGTGGTTGATGTATAGTCAGATTTTTGCTGTTTTGGCCACTGATCAGACCAGTCTTTAGCCAAAACAGTTGTGTGTGTGTATTTTTTTTTTGTTGTTGTTGTTTTTTGGTTTGGTGCTGAATTCCCACTGATGGCCTCACAAGACAGGAATCCCTTCAGTTCACTCAGAATAGGAAGAACCATCCCTGGGCACCTCTGAAAGCTGCATGGCAGGAAAACTTGTTTCCATTAGGCCACTGACCATGCCCAGGGAGAGGGAAAGGGCCTAACTCAAGAATATCAGGAAGAGGGTCAAAAGCCAGGACATTTTGCCACTTACCACACAGACTGTAGCCACTCACTCCAGGAGGGGTGGTTCTTGCTGCCTACAAATCTGTGCAGTGCTGCTTGTACCTGTATGATTCATTTCCACCATCTGTATTTGTGCCAAAATATAGATAGATACCCATGCTGGTGCATCCCTAGATGGAGAGACCAACAGACACAGACAGGTGGGGAGGCCTCCTTTTTCCATTCTGCCTTCTGGAGATCTTGGCATACTTCCTCTTTCATTTATTCACTACTTTATTGACTACAGAACTGAAGAAATGGAAGAAAAAATAAAGAAAAAACACTGACAGCACAGGAGAGCAGAGGAGAATCAATGAAATCAGACAGGAGAAACAAAATTAATGTGTTTTTTGCCCCTTCAGCAATTAATTCTCATTGTTTCTGTTCAAAGGGTTCAGGGAAATCTAGTCCTGCCTCTCCATCTCTTTCTCACAGAATACACTATCTCAGCTTCATTTTGAAAAGAGACTGTTTTGATCCTGCAAGTACTACAGAAAACACGTGAGGAAACAGCAAAATTATTCTGCTCACCTTCCTCCATGCTTTTCAATGAGTATTAAAACTAAAGCAGAGGACAATTGTGTGTTTTGGTCCCTATGGAGCTGAGATTCAAATGTGGAAATCTGTCTTAAAAGATCACAGACACTTTGAGAGAATTTTTTTTTTTCAGCAAATTCCCCAAGAAGCTCTACACACAGTGCTTCCCAGTTTTTCCCTCTTCCTATTGACATTGACACAGAAAGCTTAGACTTCAAGCTCTGTGTGCTAGAGGCTATAAAAGCCTAGATCTAGTCCAATTTCATCTGTCCCTGAACAGCTCAGGGAAGCTCTGAGTCTGATCTAAATTGTCCCTACCTTATGCTCTCCAACTCTGTTCTTCTTGTCATGTTTTATACACTTATTGACTTTTACAGAGCTTCCTGAGTAATTCTTCAAAGAAGATTGACTGATTTAAGGGGTTAGTCATCCTGCAGGTTAGTAAACATGACAGCTGGTTGAGGATTAACAGGAAATCATGAATAAAATCATTGGGATTGATAAAGGATTCTCAAGCAATTAAAGTTTTCTCGCAGAGAGTCAAACAGAAAACAGAAATACAGAGTGAAGGTCAGAGGGGGAGGGTGACCTTCTCCATCTGACAGCCACTGAGCCTCAGAATGCAGAGTTGGTGGTTACCAGCAAGGGGAGGCAGGGCTAGAGAGCTGCAGGCCAAGGGGTGGGAGCCTGGGCAGAGCTGTGTGGGACTGGAATTGCTGTGGGGCCAGCAGGCCAGTGCAGGGCCATGACAGCAGGGTGGTGGGAAGATGCAGAGCAGCATTAAAAGGAGTTGGCAGCCTGGGCTGGGGTGCTGCTTGGTGCCAGTGGTAGAGAAAATTGCAGGACCAGGCCAGGTAGCAGAAAAACCCTCCAATCCCTTCGCCAGGCAAGGGTTTGCTCATTTACTACAGAGAGGAGACTGAAATGACTTCAGGTGACTTCTTTCCCTTTCCAATGTCTCCATCTACTTCATCACTGGGATTGAGGTTTGCTGCCCACCCTGCTTCCTGCTCATTCCTGCCATGGCTTCTCTTGTTGCTGATTTTCTTCAGGCAGCATCTTCCTATTCTCTCACTTAACCTCTAGCTGCTTCTCCTGTCCCATGAATCCCCACTGATGGCTTTAAAGTTCCAGGTGTGAGAGGCTTTGGCACTTTGTTTAATGAAGCGGAAATGGATTGGAGCCCACCAGTTCTGGTACCAAGAGCCATCTGCTGTGAGCTGCAAGTGCTGATTGCTATTCAGAGAGCTGAGCTCCTGCCTCACATATGCTACCTGCCCCCAGTTGATTACTGAGCTCCTGACAGCTCTTAATGCATGTCACAGCAAGGAATGTCAGGACCAGGCAGGAAAATTTAGGCAGGGTTGGTTTAAAGGGAAGGAGCCTGGGGTCTGGTGTGGCTTCATGTTTGTCCTGAGGGCCAGGGCAAGGAGTGCAGTAGGTGAAGGGATGTGTTTTAGAAACTCAGCAGGATTTGTATTATATCACAAGCTCTTAAGTCTTATTTTTTAAAAATATTTTTTGTGATTTTCTTGCCCATGCAGTAAAGCCTTTAAGCACTACCTGAATGTGACCTTTAAAGTCTTGGAGCCAGGAAGCAACAGAAAAGAAGCCCCAACTGCTATTGCTCATGTTGGTGTTTTGTTAATTTTTAAATACTGTGGGTTTCCAGAATCACTTGATTCATGGCTTTCATTATAGAGGTTTTTGTGGGAATACATTTAGAAATTAAACATAATTTCTCTGGCTGTGACAGGACGGTACAGCCACAAGGTTTTTGAATTTGTTGATCTCAGCAAGGTGTTCTCTCAGGACTGAAGTGCAGCACTGTGATGAAGATTTTATGCTGTTGACTACTCTTACTTTATTCAGCTCTTCTCACTCCTCAGGAGCTTTGGTAGTTTCAGGGAATCTGGTGGTGCTGCAACTGGAATTAGGTTTATTAGCACCTGGATGGAGATACAGACTTATGGTTTGGTTCATCTGGAGGGTTCCTGTTTCCAGACAGGACACTGTTATGTTTTTTGGGGTTTTTTTCATGTAATGTTCCAAGAACGTCACTCATGTTTAGCAAACAACATTTTGAATTTAAAAAAAAGCTTTAAAAATACATTTTGTTTTAAAAAACTGAGACCATTAAACCAGATTGAGCAGGTATTAAAAAGCACTGAGTGGTCACAATTACCAAGCAGGAAGGAGCTTAATTCAGCATTTCTCTCCTTTTCAGAGTCAAACAGCCGCCGGGCAGTGAACAGAGGCTACCTGGGTGAACTGCTGAGGCTCTACCAAGACTGGCATCGCAACGACGTCTCCAACAACTACATTTACATTCGTAGGGGTCTCCTGCTCTGCCTAAAGTACATCACCAACATCCAGCTGGGCAGGGAGACTTTCCTTGGGTCCCGGGGAATGGAGATTCTCTTCACAAGCGTGCAGGTAAATGGTGCTTTTTGTGTTTAAATGAGGTGATTTGGTGGTTAAGGCTGGGTTTTACATCCCACTGCAGGAAATTCCATCATTATATAAATTCAGGATAGGACATATAAATGAAAAAATTGATTACATGAAGAACTATTGACTTTTACACAGTTAGTACTTTAGAAAAGCTGAAATGTTTCAGTTTAAAACAGATCTATGGGAATTCTAGTTCATGCTTTTAGTGCTTCTTTTCTCTTTCCCTGAGCATCCTGCTGCCTGCTTGGACTACTTCTCCTGAAGAATAATGGAATATCTCTTATAGGGGAATTGCTTAGGTCTTTTGTGAGATTTTCCTTTACAATAACCAGATAATTCCACTCAATCAGCCTTTTAAACAAAATGCTCATTTAGCCAAGCCTTTCCTAATGAGAAACATCCATCAACAGTTTTTCAGGAGGTTAAATTTTAATCTTGTGAAACATTAATGTGAGTTCAAGAAAGATGCCATGGTCCTGCAGATGGGCTGCCTATAAGTTACAGAAAAAGCAGGCACAGAACAGTGAGAGTTTCCTCAGTCTCTCAGCAAAATGTTTCCTTAGCTTGCTTTGACCTTAGAGAAAATCACCTTGTGATTCCATGGCAGTGTTTCCACTGTCATTCTTACTAGCTATGCATTGTCACTCTAGAACCATCAGAAAGAAAAGCCTGTCTCCTTCTCCCTTAAAAAAAAATCCATTGCCTTATGATTCAGTGTGTTTATTTCTTCCCCTTTTCCATCACTGTCATGAAGGATTCTTCTGTGAGTCATTTCTTACCAGCAGTGTATGGGAGACTTCTGGAATTATTCACTTCACTTCACTTTCCTCCTGAAGAATTGACCTTTTCTTTAGGTAGGATGAGGTGGCCAGAGCCAGCAGACCTCCCAGGGGATTATGGCCTCTGTTAATGAGAAGTCCCTGGTCTGAAGAAAGGTGGATAGGGTGGATGGAAAGAGCTGCTGAGGTTGGATGTTCCCTCTCAAGAGCCTCCCACAGCCCATGAAGCTTTCTGAGCTAACACCTCCTGATAGCTCAGCCTGGAGCAACTCCATGGCAAGAGCAAACGTGGGGTCACCTTGGGTGCACAAACAGGAAATGACATCCTAAGGCTCCAGTAAACACTGATAATGCTAATCCTTCCAAAGGTGGAAGTGGAGCAGAAATGACAGCTTCAGGGGCTTCCAGTTTGCTTTTTTCCCAGTGTGTGCTATTAGGGAGACCTTGGACAAGAAATAAGCAAGGTTAATAGATTCAAAGCTCGATATTCTCTCACTGCTTCTTTAGGATGTTGTCAGTCTTGCAGTGTCTCTCCAAGACATGAAGTGTTGGCAGGAGTCTGGCAGCCCTAGGAGATCTCACTCATGCTCTTCCCTATCTAACCTGAGGTAGAGGCTGCTGCTGCCATAAAAATCTTCATTATTTTCATGGGAGAAAGATGGAAAATCTTGTCTTCTGAGATGGACAACAGGCTGTAGCAAGAGAAAAAAAAAGATGAAGACAGGACAAGACCACTCCTGGCTGGGAAAGCACTGACTCTGTGTGTGTGGACAGTATTTTAGTGCCTTCAGGGAATGCACTGGCTCTGGTGATTAACCTGGACCAAATTGAGTAGGTAATGAGATTTTTAAGGTGTTAAAATATGGCTAGAAAAGTTCTGCTGAAACTTCTAAAGTTTTTTTGTTTGTTTCTTTTATTTTTCTTATACACACATATTTATTGAAATGAAAACCATTTTGCTAGGATGGGTTTGTTTTAAACTCCAGTGGAAATTCTATTTACAAGGCTGGTTTTCAATTGAAGCCTCTCTGGCTGCCTATTGTCTGGGCTGATGGACAGATGAAATACCTGAGCTTTTAATAGCCCTTAAGCTTATTTCTTTACAGGAGGAGCCAATAGTTCAAAAACTGTCACCTCACATAGATTAGAAGTGACTGCTACTCAATTTGAGGAGAGTTTAGAGATATTTTAGGGGAATTTAGAGATATTTTGAATTCTACTCCTACCTGGAATAAAAAATAATTATAGATAATGAAACCATTCATGGAAAGGAAGCACTTTCTGTTCCCATTCCCTTTTCCTAGCTGCACTTAGATTTTCCTGACAGTTAAATGGTATATTCACATTAGCATTGTCTGGTTTTGTGTGCAGCGACAGAGCTGCCTACTCTGAGACAAGAAAACAGGTTTGTATGTGCTTTAGGAGATACTGCTGCATGGAATGTTATCTTGATATTTTATCACTTTTCCATCTGGTTTCTTAAGCTTGCCTTGTTTCTCTCCAGCATCCCCTACTACTCTAGGATAATATTATCCTATATTCCATTCTGTTTGCCAGTAGGAGCATCAATCAGCATTGCTATCTTTTGTCTTACTGTCATATTGAAACCTCCTTTTTTTTATATGTATATCACATACCATATAATCTGTCCTATTCCAGATTCAGGGGAGAAAAGATTGTATGGAGATTAAAAGGCAGATCTGAATCCAGGTTAGCTTTCCATGAGTTTTCTGAGCTAAGGATTTACTCTTCCCTCATTCACACTATCTCACCACAAAATAAATGGGATGGCTTACACACATACAGAGCAGTCTCCTGTCTGCTTCCCAGGTGTCAGTAAAAAGGGCTTTTCCAATACACTGATGTAATCATTTTCAGCCATTTGTAAACAGTGTTGCCTCAGAATCTGAGAGCACTTTATGAGCAGTAATGAAAACAGTCCCACAAATTCCCTCTAAGGTATCTGAAGGCTTGTTTGCACTTGTGAGCTAATTTGCTGTACAGAAAAATGTCTTCCAAATGGCATCACTGAGTAACTCCATGCGTGGAAGTTCATTGTCTAGATGAACATGCCTTGGTCTTGACTATTTAAATTCACTTGGCAATGAATTAAGAAGGTTGTCCCAAGGCAGTCAATTAAACAGTCCTGCATTCACTGTTTGAGCAAAAACAGATCAGTTTTAGTAAACTGAACTAGTAGACTGTTGAGAATATTAGCCTGTTCCCACATGTAGACAAACTTTCCTAATCTTTCCTTTAATAACAAGCAAACAAAGGCAACCATATGAAGGAGTGAATAAATTGAAACAGAAATAGAAACCAGTTCTCCTTGGTGTTTGCTCTACCCATAATAAAACTTTCCTTGGAGATGCTTTCATAATTTTCTTCTCTCTCCCCCTAGTTTCAAACAGCCAGAGAACCAGAAATACATATTAAAATTCTTGTAGTGAGTCTTGTAAGCATGTCAGCTTTAGATGATTTTTTTCTAGCCTCCCTACAGGAATCCTGGTTAATCCCACTGAATCTTATAATGCCATTCAATCATACATGAGAAAACAGTAAAATCCTCCCCAACCAAAAGAACCCAATACAGCCATTTTACTGTTCCTGATTATAAAGTACTTTATCACAGAATCATTTAGATTGGAAAAGGCCTTTAAGATTGAATCCAGTCATTAACACAGCACTCTCAAGTCCACCACTAAGCAGTGTCACGTTTTCCTCGAAGGAGATGAGGTTAGTCACAGGCAGAACCTGTGATGCAATGGTCATTTTATGTTCTTTTTTTACATTTTTTTGGCCCTCTGCCTGCTGAATGCTTGGATTGTCTGATTGGTTTGGTGTTTTGTTTTTTTTTTTGTCCAGCCCAAATGCTGACTATGGGCTGTCAGGCAATGGCGCAAAGTATCTGTTCTGCCCTCTTGGTTGTTCTGTTTTATCTCTACCTTTTTTTGTCCAGCCCAAATGCTGACTATGGGCTGTCAGGCAATGGCACAAAGTATCTGTCTGCCCTCTTGATTGTTCTGTTTTATCTCTACTGCAAGGATGAAAAATGATGAAATGGTAGTAGAATGTATTGCAATAGTTCTCTTTTGCCTTGTAGCATATTCATGCTGCTTATTTAAGCTGCATTCTTGTTTTGATGAGCTCAATCTTAGCTCCAAACCACTGAAGAAAACGTGCTGAGAGGCAGAGTGAAGATTGTGAATTTGGGTAGAATACTGCACGTATGACTCAGTCGCTCTGATGGAGGCTGTGCTTTGGGTGTGCTGCATTTGGGCAAATCCAAGGGCTGGGTTTTCTGAGAATTGCACCCATTGGTTTTAAACAACTTTGCCTTTGTGCAGCAGTATAATTCCTTTATCCAAACTCCCTAACTGTTATATTGAAGACATTGTGATGTATGAAGACATATATCACTTCTGTGATGTCTCAGGAGGTCTTTCTTTAGTTCTGTGGGGATTTTGGTTTGTGTTCTTAGCAACAAAAGTCTGAGGAGCTCACTTGCACAACAGTACAACAAAAATACAAAATAGTCTGTGTCTTCAAAGCGTACCTGGGCTGTAAAAAATCTTTATATGTCTATTTTCTCCACTGGATTATAGCAGTAGAAATTGTGGGATACTGCAGTTAATTAATTATTTTATGATTAGGTAATATATAGTGATCTTTCAGAATAGCTCTTGGGCCTAATGATTTAACCACAGAGAGCAGAGTACAGTGGGAGTGTATTCTCTTTGAGAAGACATTGTGTACCCTGAATACACTGAAATAGTGGTGTTAACTCTTAGTTTTTTGGCATGATTCTGGGTATAGTTGTGCTGAAGTTGCAGGAGCACAGATTTTGGCATGTTTGGGCAGCCAAAACATACACATGACAAGACTTTTTCAAGAGTAAACCTGGAAATCTTATGGGACTGGAAAACCAAGATTGACATTTTGCTGCAGTTTATGGGTGTGAGTCATGGGTGGTGAAGGGAATTGTGCAGACTTTTTCAAGAGTAAACCTGGAAATCTTATGGGACTGGAAAACCAAGATTATGACGTTTTGCTGCAGTTTATGGATGTGAATCATGGGTGGTGAAGGGAATTGTGTTCTCACCAGAAGAGTGGCTCTGCTCTGGGGGATTATGACAGGGAGGACTGTTGTAAAAGACTATTCTAAATGTAGTTCTCCTTTGTTTCCTAGGACTGTTTATCTTGCAAAAATCTGGATCCTATCATAACTACTGCGATTCATATTCTGAGAAAGTGCTACCCCAAGGAGCATCTGCCTGTGGTGACTGTAAGAAGTTCCTATTCCTTCCCTCTTCCAGGGAATGCCAGTGCTGAACCTCCATGTGAGGGATCTGAAGGTAAATGGCTGAAGGGTGAGTGCAGAAGGAGGAAAAGGAGTATGACATGAGAATTAAGTGTGGCATCTGGGGAAGGGAGATTTGGCATAATCCTGAGGTTTACAGTTAGAATTAATCTGATAATTTATAATGTCAGTCAGTGGAGAAGAAATTACTCCCAGGTCGTCTTGAAGCTGCAACAGTCTGTTTGGAGAATAAATGAAAGAAGATGTAAAGAAGCAAGGAAAAGGAAAAAAAAATATATTATCAAAGAAATAATGGAGCTGAGTGGGTATAGCAGAGGCTGGAGATGCCATTGCTCCCCAGTAGCAGACAGACATAATTGTGCCTGTGCATTGGCTGCTTGGGGTGTAAAAACTGCCCTGCAGCCTTTTCAGTAAAGAATTGCAAGAATTATTATCCTTTTCCCTTTCTGAAGTAAAAGCAGATAGCAGTCATGCTGCATGAGTAGAAGATGGGAGCTCTTGCTGGAAAGCAGAGCTCAAGCACAGGCAGGACAGCTACTCGGCAGAAAAGGCTCCATGATACACAGAAGCAATTTTTGCTACATTCAATTTTGTGTGGAAGATACTGAAATTCTATAACAATCATAGCAGTAAAACACCCTAATCTAGATAATACAGATTAAGAGCATCCTGTAATATCATTGCAGCCAAGCAGAAAATCTCTGTATTGCTTTGTAAAATGAGTTGGATCCATATCATGGGGACATTTGTCATGGTTTTGAAAGGCAGTGCTTGAGTCCAAGAGAACAGAGCTTTAAAAACTGGGTGAATTGGTGCCAAATTCATTTATATGAGATTAACAAATGGGATTTGCTTTAATCAGGGTTGTGGTGTGTTGTGGACTGTGTGGCACACATAGAAGAATTTACATGTATTTCTCTGTGGGGTATGAGCGGGATATTAGGTTGAACACCTTTGTCTCCTTCCTATTTCTGCAGATGACAGTGAAAGTGAAGGAGAGGAAGAGGCTGAAAAAGACTGGGATAATGAGGATGTGGAGAGTAAAGAGGAAGTAGGTATACGAGCCATAGTTATCTACATACTGGAAAATAAAACATTTTGTCTATTTTGACACCCTGAAAGACTGACTAAGCAGAGAATGTAGATGTGCATGTGGTCCCACGTGAACACACTACATGGACAATAGGGGGATACTTGAAAAAAGGAAAGGAGAATGCACTGACTTTCACTAAAAAGTGCCTTGCATTTATTCTTTTCATTTTCATGCTTGTCACCCAAGGTGGAGGGGTTTTGGTGACTCCTCTGTTCCTGCACAAAGACTGCGCAGAATCACATCCACAGTCAGGGATAAATGGTGGATCTTTGATCTGCTAGGCATATGCCAGGAAAATGGCATTTAGGGAAAATTGATTTATCATCTAGGAAAGGCTAACCCCCTCTTTATTCCCATATCAGAGCATATTTGGGCTGTGCAGCTACCCTGAGGAAAAGGCTAGTTCTTTTAAGCCACAGCTGCTGCATTTGAACCTATATTCCTTCTTTATTTGCTGCTGCACACAGACAAATAATACAATGAATTATTCAATACTTCTCTGAATTCGCCCTTAGCACTCTCCCTGCAGTGGCCTAACTGGCAAAAAAAAACTTCTACAAGCTGAGGATGAGGGTGCAAACTTTTCTGTTGTGAAAATACAAACTAGCTCATATGCAAACGTGAAGTAGTGGATGCTGCTAATAAGTCTTATCCACATAAAGTGGCTTGGGAAAGCAAATTAAAGAAATGAAGTTGCAAATACAGTCTAATTAGAAATGATTGAGACTTCTGTGAAAGTGAGTTCTCATTACTTGCCCTGTCTTTTTCTCCTCAAATATTAAACTGTTTTCACCCAGTAAAAAAGGAAGTTAAACCCCCCCACACACATTATCTGAGTGTCCTAACTTGCCCCTGTCTGACTGTTTTTATCTGACTATTAGAGCTCGTCAAGATGCTCATTAGGAATAAGGCTCATAGTGGATTTATCTCCTTCTTTAATTAGTTATTCATTCAGTAACAGCTCCTCTATGCTTCTGAACTATTTCATTATTCATAAGGATTTACCAAGTAGATGTAAGCAGTTTTGGGGTTGTCTTTTCTCTTTTTTTTTTTTTTTTTGCCTAAGAGCTTATTCTACATATGAGTTTTAAATACTGTTTGTCTGGTTTGCTGGTCATATATCTTCTGTAAAAAAACCTTGCTAAAGGGAAAGCAAGCAGGGAATGGATAATGAACTTTCAGCTTAGCCCCTTTTTTTTGTTGTTGTTTAAGGTCTTTTACACAATGTTTGCTGGTATTGATGTGATTTGCAAACATTTTCACAGCTACATAACACATATCCATGCATGCTAGCAACACCAACCAAACTGAAACTTGGCTCTACCCTTCCATCAGGAGCTGTTCAGAGTTCTATGAAAATAAAAGTCACCACATCAACCATCTATTCTTGTCCATCCAAAATTTGAAGCTTCTTATGCATCAGTATGCTCTCAGTGGCAAATCCTTTTCAACTGAGCTCATGTTTCTGGCAGGTCTTCACTGCCTTTTCATCTCTGCCCAAACAACATTTCAGACTCTGCTTTGTGTCCCAAGTGTGCCTCAGGGTTCGAAATGCTGTGGGCACTGGTGCATTCAGGCAATTTTACTCTTTTCTTCTAATAACACCTTTGGAAATTAATCTGTTGGTCAGGAGCAAATAATTTCTTTGATGGCATTTGGTGGGACACAGACATATTGAATTATTTGAATAATGCTGTAATGTAATGCCCAATCATCAATGCCATGTCTTCATCCTTTCCTCTTGCTCCAACTTTTCCTGGTGTGTTTTTGTTTGTTTTTTTATAATGTAATAGCTGAAGGCTTGACACAGTTTGGCTTTGGTTCTCACATCCGATATGGGTAAGGCTGCACATTAATGCACAGCAGCCCTCAACTGTGAAAGTTTCAGATACTGTTTTTGTCCTCAATTCACTGATGGTTGATCATCTCATGGGGCAGGTGTAATGCATGTGCTTTTCTAATTCTGCTTTTGTAGGACTGTGACTTGGAGACAGATGTGAATAAATTGAGGTCAAGGCCAGTGCTTGACCGGCCAGAACAAGAGCTTGAAAAATATGAAGCTCTGTGTGCAGAACTTTTCCAGAATTTTCAGGTAGGTTGTAGTGCAGTTTCCTTTATTTGTGAATATTCCAGAATTTAAGAAATACTTGAAAGGCAGTATTGACAAGTATTAGCTAGACAAGGCTATTTCAAAAGTGAATCTGTAAGTCTTACAGGACTAGAAAGCTAAAGATTATGACTTTTTGCAGTAGTTTATTGGTCTGAATCATGAATGATAAAAGGAATGTTTGATGCACATTTTTCTGGGTGTAGATTAAGTAAGCACCGTTGAATCAATTGCCACATGAGAAACCTGTCAGATAATTTGTACCCTTGCTGGCAATTTCAACAGCAATATCAAAATCAGAATGAGATGTGAAAAGTAAATACTGTCAACTAGTGGTTTGAAAGAAGAGGAGATTACACAGCCACTGGATGAAATGAACAGTTCAAATATTTTTTTTTTCTAGTGATGCTTGGGACAAAAAAAATAAGGAATATTGCACTCATTGCAAGTTTTGCAATTTAGAAGAGCTGAAAACCCTGTTTCAAAGTGAATTTGAAAAAGATCTCTGGGTTAATGTATCTCCTGTACATGGAATATTGTGATACTGATTGTGACCATAAGTAGCCAAATGGGATTAAATCATACTCCTGCATGAAGCTGGGGTGGAGTTTTGCGTGACAAATTGGCCACCTTTACCCTCCTGTAACATTTAGATTTAAAAAAAAAAAAAAAGCCTTACAAAGTGTCTTCCCTTCTTTGTTTGAATGATTGATTTTGGTTGACTCATCTGGCAAGTCATCTCCAATCAGATCCTGTTGGTTTCTGAGGATTTCTGTTGAAACAGCTTTGTGGATAGAGAAATGCTGGCAGGTGGTCCATGCACTGATTTTGCTATGGCTGTTTTATTGGTTGAGTACAGTTTTGGGAGATGTGTAAATATTTCCTCTTTTCCCCCTTGAAAGGTTTCCTCTGGAAGGAGGCACAATCTGTCTGTAGTTTCTTTTAATTTCTTCTGCTTTTTAAATTTAAAGGAGCTTGAATTTGAGTCTGAGGAAAAGAAGAGCTTGGAGGACAGGACTGAGAGTCTTCCCTCTGCTCCCTCTCATTTCATTCCAAGTGATACTTCTGTGAAGCATCCAAACTGCAGATGGAGAAACCAAAGTGTCACAGAGATGGGACCAGATCCAGGAGAGCAGGATTTCAAAGTCCCATTGCAGAGCTGGAGAAAGAAGGAGGAATGCATATGGGATAAGAATGATGAAAACAGAGACATTGCTGAAAAAACCCAGGATAAGGACTTCTGTGAGGAGGCAGATCCAGCCAGGAGTCATGTGTTTGCTTTGTGCTCTCTCCTAAAAGATGCTGCTTGGTACAAAAAAGTATTTTACCCTCATTGTGAGGCCTTGATCAACCCTGGTCCTGAAGGGAGGCTGGAGAGCTCAGATATAGTTAGAAATCTTCTGGAGAAACACCGAGGGGATATTCCATTCCACAGCCCTTGTTTCTATGCAGCCAGGGCCAGATGTGTGAAGTCCATCCCAGGCTACAGAGAGCTGGCATTCCCGGATTTCTGGGGTCACCAGCCACCTCCTTACAGCAAGCCCGTGCTGGAGCGCAAGCATGGGGTCCAAAGGTGATTGTCTTTTAATGTAGTGACCAAGTGGGGAGCTCTTGGGCTCAAAGCTGGCTTATGTAGGTTCTGACTCTAACGCCTCTGAATACCTTAGGAAGTTATTGAACAAATGTTTTGGTACCCAATTATGTGCCTCGATTGATAAATTCATCAACAATGGGAAGCTTAGATGGGAATCTAAGCTGGGTTGTGAATCTATGACCTTGTTAGAACACAAACGAGAACAAGTCTATTTTAAAGATGGAGAAGCCTCTGTGCCCTTGTCAGATATGTTTTTTCCTTCAGTCTTACTCTTTTTTCAGCCACTTTAGTGCTTGCATCATTGGTCCCATCTGACTCTTTCAGGGAAAATCCTATCTATCCTTTCAGAAAGGACCTCTCATTATTTAGGTGCTCAGATGAGTGAGAAGCTGTGTTTTGAAGTTGTGCTGGGAGAAAAAGCTCTTAAAACTACAGTGTTTTGGCTTGACATAGGCCTATATGCAATAACTTCATATTTCTTTTTAGTGGTATGGGGGATTATTAGCAGGCAGCAAAGATGGTGGATTCTATGGTAAACTTCAGAGTTGATCAACTAATGGCATTTGTTAAGACTACTGATTTCTGACTGGTAGGAGAATGATTCTTTCTGCAGTAAATATATGAGCTAGAAATCTTGTTTAGAGGGAAAATCATGCTACCATCTTCTTGCACTGTTACTCTAAAAGCTCTGCTTTTATGGCTATAACAACATGTGTAACTGTACAGCTGAAATGGGACTAATCATATCATGCTTCAAGGCATAACATGATTGCTTCAAAGGTCAGGAAGAAAATCTGGTATTCCACATTTGATCATCTTCAGGGATCAGAGAAGCTCTGTTTAATAATGGGTAGAAATCAGCTTGACTTGTAGTCAATATTCACTATGAGTCAGACTAGTAGATTTGTAAGTAATGGCAGATATTTCCTCACAGGGTAAGACTGGCCATTTGGGGGTTGGCATTGACTTAGAAGAACTGAAGATAAATCAAATTTGACACAATCCAGTAGTGAATAAATAATCTTCCAGGATCAGTCATTTATCCCAAAAAGCAACTTGTAATGAGGGCAGAGCAGAAGTGTTCTCACGACGGGGGGGGAAAAATTTCACCTGGATTTAGCACATGGAAATTCTTTCCAGTCCTTAAAAATAATTTTCTAAGACTGTTTCTAGAAGACTATATCAATATTTCTCACACTGTCACTACAATTTGCTGATTTGCTGCTTTCTTTTTCCCAGAGACAAAGTCCTTGATGATGTTCGCCGCCTAATCCAGCCGGGAGATGTGATAGGAAGAACTGTGTTTGATTTAGATGATCCCAGGTGGGTCCCTTAAATTGAGTGCTGCAACCAGGGGCACTGTCAGTGCTGTCACTGAGCTCAGTTTACTTGATCAACTCTGATAAAGGCAAAGTAACAGGAGGTAAAGGCCTAACAGAGAAAATATCCAGGAGGGGTAGATTGTTTCTAGGTGACTCCAGGGAAAGGATTTGTTGTGGAAGCCACTGGAGCAGGAAATCATCAGAACTTTTAAACAGAACAAGAAAATCCATACATCAAAGGGGACTGTAGGTTGTCCCTGGATCTGTCTGCATTGCATGCTGTGATTTGGAACAGAGACATGAAGATCAGTGCTGGGAACTGTACTGACAAATCCATCTTTTCCACCCCCTGTGGCAGAATTTCCCATGGAGTCTGCACAGCCAGTGCCACAGGCTGTAGATGTACCCTGTTTTCATAAGTGTGACACTCCCACAGCACTTCAAAAATAAACACAACCCTCAAACATCTGGCCTTGTGAAAGCTTTAAGCACTCAACTATGGTCTGTGAGAAGATGTAGCGCTGGGCAGTTGAGAGGGTCCCAAATTTTAAAGAAATTCCATTCAGAGGAAGGATAAGTGACTTGGAGAACATTTTTGTCCCAAATTTTAAAGAAATTCCATTCAGAGGGAAAGATAGGTGACTTGGAGAACATTTTCTGGAGCAGAAAAGAGGTGAGAGTTTGAGGTAGGAGAAAGTTATGAAGTTGCTTAGGATTAATTTAAGGGTTTCTAAGCAGTGGGAGAAAGAAACTCTACAGATGAAGGAAGAGTAAATATAGAGTAATTGTATAAAGCTGCCTTCTGCAATTAATGAAATAATAGGAATAGTCCAGTGGGAAAGTAACTGGAATAAAGAAAGCAAACATGGACAGTGACAAGAGTATTGGGAAAAGGAAAGATGTGATTTAGAATTACTAAGCAAGAACAGAGAGAAAAAGCTGCATTGGATAGGAAGGTTATGGATTTGCTCACCTCCTCCTCTGTCCCAAGGTCTTGCTTATTAAAAAAATTATTAAAGCAAAATTTAGCATATAAAAGGTGCTGGGGAAGGCTTCTCTTTGAAGCAATCTGCTACAGATGTCCTTGCTTTGCTTTCCAGCAGTCTCTCAAGCCCAGCTGCTCCAGGCTGTCTGACATTTTTCTCCCAGTTTGAGTCAGGAAACCTTCGGAAGGCAATCCAAGTGCGTGAGTAAGTACCCCTGCCCAGAGGTGTCCCAGCCTGCCTGCTGCTTGACCACAGCATGGGAAGGTGGCCTTCTCCTGGCTTTGGAAAGGGTCAGCCAGGGAAGCAGGTTAGATGATGTGGAGCTTATTTTGCCTTCTAACACCTGGATGTCATGGAAGGAACACGATTAAGAAAACAGAGCTCAAAATGTTTTGACTATTATAGTGTGAGTATTTAATGGTGTTTGATGGTGATGCTCGCAAAATATCAATCAATTTGACTGCATTGCCTGCTGTCAGCGTGTTCAGTGGTAGACAGGAGGTGTTCATGGCCGCTGCTTTTATTATTTTCCTTTACAGGTTTGAGTATGACCTAATTCTGAATGCAGATGTGAACAGCAGCCAGCACCACCAGTGGTTCTACTTCGAGGTCCGTGACGTGAAGTCGGCGGTTCCCTATCGCTTCAACATCATCAACTGTGAGAAGCTCAACAGCCAGTTTAATTATGGTATGAGCCTTGGGGGAATTGGGGCAGCCTTTTCTTCACAAGAATATCTTTTTAATGCCATAAAGGTTTCAAACTCTGTGTCTATAAATATAAGGGAGACTGTAAATTCAATCTTATCTGCCCTGAAGTCCACTGAAAGTCACTTTATATTTGTCAAGGAACTCTTGTCTATCCTCAGGAGGACTGAGGAGGAAACTGAATATTGAGACCTAGGAGAGGATTTGTGGGGGGAAATAAACATCACTGTTGTGTTCATAGACCAGAACTGAAGAAGAATGGCACTAGGGTTGAGGGGCAAAGGCAATCTGTTGGAACTGAATGAGCAGCATAGGATTGAAAAGTAATTGTAAGATTTAAGTAAATGTGGTAATCCTCAAACAAATATTCATGATTCTTTGGTCTTATCTAGTAAGATGTCTTTGGACCTACTGAAATTTCTGTTGCTATTAATGAAGATGAAAAATTCTGTTCCTTGCTGTCCTTGAGCTCCTGTCATGGTTCACGAGAAAGGCAGAATTGTTCAGAAACAAGCAGGGCAAATCTCATCTTTCAATGCCCATTTTAGAAAGACATTATTTCTTGTGCAGGGAGACTGTGGCTTGAATTCTTAGCTAGCATGGGCTGGGGTTTTTTTTTGGTTTGTTTCCATGGAGCTCTCTTAATTTACACCAGCTCAAGACCTGGCTCAGAATGTTTAATAAATCCATAATATTAGACTTTGCATTCCTCTGAAGCCCTGTGGCTACAGCCTCTAGCATCACCAGGACGACTCTCTGAGGATCAATGTACCTATAACACACAGCCTTAGGAGTTGGAACCACTTGTATGTGTGAAACTGGCTGGATGAGTGACATGACAAATTAAAAGGCATTTACTCTTTAACCAAAAGGGCTGAAGTTCAAGTATTCAAACAGACCCCAATTTAATTATTTTGGTCATTGTATAGTTCTTACCTGAATTATCAAACAATTCAGTGTGGTGTGTGTGGCAGGAGGCTGAAAATGAAGGATGTTGATGTCCTATTTTAAACCACAATGCAATTGTTGATGTAGCCCCTAGTCCCTTCACTCTTGTAGACAGATTCAGGCTATTATTGGTGGAAGGTTGTTATTTGCTAGTTTGGCTGTTATCAGCATTTATAATCTAATTTTGTGTACCTGAAACTGCACATGACTCACATGTTCAAGCATGCAATGAATAATATATTTGGAAGAGAAATGTGAAAATACCATCTGGACTAAGGAGGGAGGCTAAGCCACGGCTGGCTTTTGGATGGCTTGTTTGTGGGGTTGGCTATTAGCAATTCCTCTGTGGGCAGTGAAGCTCCAGCTTTCCTGGCTTGGCTGAGCAAGGCTCACTACCCCTTCCAGCACATGCAGAGCATTTACACAGAGCAGTGGTAAGAGATGCTGTTTATTTGTCACATTCCCTCTGCACCTTCCTGGGCTAATGCCCACACTCTGAGACAAAAAGCCTGCAGTTGTGATGTAGTGCCAAAGTGCCCTGGGTGGCAATTCTTTGCAGCTTCTGGTTACTTGTCTGGTTTGATTTTTCCCATTTGCTCTTGGTTAGATGGCACTGTGTGACTTTCAAATCAGCAGAAAGGATATTTAATGAAATAGCTGTGGCCAGGAGCAGAGCAAGACAGGAGGCACAGAATCCACCTCTCCCCTTCCCTCTCTTTCACTAACTTACACTGCCATGGGAGATTTCATCAGAACCTTGACTTCAGTTTGTTTTCTAAAACTGAACATTTCCACAGGGGCAGTAAAAAGGAAAAAACTGGTGTGTTGGTTTGGTGTTTTTTTTTTTGTTTTGTTTGGGTTTTTTTCCCCATTAGAATGAGATGGCAGACTAGTAGCAGCCATTGCTCCGAGACAGTTTCATGCATGAGTCCTTTGGACTCAGAAGGGCAGGAGCTGGCATTCAGATATCAAGACCCCTGCAGACACTGAGCCTCACAATCCCTTCCCTGATCAGCTGGGCATGCCTGTGTCTCTCAAAACTCGTGGTGACCATGTCCTGGTACCAAACACAGAATTGTCTCTTGTATAACTCACAGCACTGGTTCAGAAAACAGCATTCTAGAAGCTGCTCCTGGCTGTGGTGAGTTAGTGCTGCCCCACAGCCCAAGGTGAGCTGGAAAGGCATTGCTGATGATGTTTCTGGGCTCCAGCAGTGCTGGAGAGCTTAAGAGAGAAACCCAAAGGAAGAAGGGAGCTGAATAGCTGTTAATGGAAATGTGTCATCAGTATTAATAATTTTCAAGCATCACCTTCCCCCAGCACAAGAACAGCTGAGTGAAGGCTTGGAGGGCAACTTATCAACATGCAAAAATACTTGGGAGGGCATTTTTCTCTTTCTTAAATGTGCTCTCACAGAAGTGGTGCCAGCATCATTGCTGGGCTCAGCTGTGGCTGTGCTGGGTCCACTGGAGCTGCTGACAGGAGCCTCCCCTGCAGCCCCTGGCCAGGGACACCCTGTGCAGAGAGCTCTGCTGGGGAAGGCAGCATCCTCACCCTGCCCTAAAGAGCAGAAAGGTGTGTACAGCAAAGGAAATTGACACAAAAACTCCCTGAAGATGGGATGGATTCATGGAGCTGTGAGTAATGGCAACTCAGATCAGAGAAAGCCTTGCCCCTCAAGGCATGAAACAATAAAATTTTGGAGGTCAGGAAGAGGTCATGCTCTGGGACAATGCAGTACAAAGATGGATGCTATTGTTATCATCATTTATGATGCTTAAGTGTTATTTAGGACTAATAGTAAGTTTAAAACACGTAGTTTTGCTTGCTGATTTTGGAAGTCAGGGTTCTGGATGCAACACTGATCTCTGATATTATGGTAGGATTAAGAGTTCAATAACATTGCAGCCAAGCATGAAATATTAGACTAACCAAATTACTGATCTTGTTGATGCCTTGATTCGTATTATTTTCTTTCCCTTCCTCTGTTTGTAAACAAAATGGTTTGCAAAGGCCAGAAGAATAATTTATTTTTTAATAAACTCTATTCAGCTCATTTCTTCTGGAGGGACTTTTTGTACAGACATGGCTCTCTCAGAATAAAACACAAGGCTTTGGGAATGTATTTACTCTGCAAAAACTCTCAGCAGAGAGAGCACAGACAAAATAATGCTGCTGCTTCTTTAGCCTTTTCCTTCCCACTCCTGTCTTTTCCAGCCAGGGAAGTCACATCACCTGAAACTGTCCTGTTTTCTGCAGGCATGCAGCTGGTCATGTACTCAGTGAGGGAAGCTCTGCAGGGCAGACCTCGCTGGACTCGGGCAGGCCAGGAGATTTGCTACTACAAGTAAGTGCACCTTTGGTGAATAATTTGTGCCTTCCTTTCTCTACTGTTTCACTTCTGTTAAGTGCACTGATGTCATGAGCCTCTTGCCATCAGTGCCCCCTCTTTCAAATGTCTCAATTGGTGCTGGCTCAATGTGTTGTGTGCTTCCTCCCTCAGACAACAGCCACAAGTGAGACCTCGCTATTAGGTGCCAGGGAATATGCAGCATTCCCTTGCCCAGAAAGAAGGAGAAGGAAAGGAGAAGTAGTGTAGTTGTTTTTTCCATTGGCTGGGAAGAAAAGAGCTGGATGGGATCATTGTTTTTTCTCTTGCATACACAGACTTTTGTAAGAGATATAGGAGCTAAGGAGCCAAAGAATGGGTTGAACATACAAAGGTGGAGTAAAGGAATCCTGAAGCTCAGTGCTGATATTTGTGCAAGTTCCATGTTTCAGGCTGCTTTTGCAGTGTGCCAGAGCCTCAGAAGTTGTTCCAGTTTGTGTTGGAATTTTTTTTTCTAGGGGTGGGGTGGGGAAGGATTCAAGGCCCAGATTATCCTCTCTCAGCCTAGCATCTGTCTACAGCACTTTGAGTAGCTATTTTATTTTAAGTACTATCTGCTGATCTTCATGTACCTGACCTTAATCTTTTCTACCTCAAGAGCTCACATATGTGGTTCAGTGCTTTCCCTTTACATGCCTGTAATCTCTGGCTTCTCTGAGTATGGGCAGACTTTTCATGCTGGATACCACTGCAGTGGCTTCCCATATCATTAGCAAGGCAGCTATTGTGCAGTGATTAAACAGCAGCTGACTTCCAAGATTAAGCCATGATTGTGCAATTAAGCCTGTAATCAGATTCTTGTTCAGAATATATGAGAGAATTGTTTTATTGATTTGGAATATTCTGTGTTTTCTAGCTGTACATTGAATTATATGTCAACATAATCATCTAGGATAAGTACTTGTTGTCTCTCATTTATTGTGTGTTTCTGGTTTTCACATATTTTTGTATACACAAGAATGTGCTTGCACACACATAAATACGTTTTCACCTCTGCTGAAACTTTAATGTTTTTATTTCAATGATTATAGAAGATATTCTCAGTCATTACAAGTTTCAGGGGGGAGGGATGTGGAACTAGTGTGGTTGGGGATGCTCAGGCTTTCTCTCAGAAGAGGAGGAGTTGGGATTGCTACAGTGATATCACACTGCCAGTATTTTGGGGAAAGAGCTCACTTCAGTTCCATTCACCCTGGTCACAGGTATCCTAAGGTGGGGCTGCATATTTTGAAGGGAATCTCAGAAAATTATTTTTACCGGGACTTATTAATAAATACATGAAAATAGTGATACACTTTCAAAAATACAGAGGAACCCAGGCATGCCTTTAATTGCTTTTGCAGCAGGGCCTTCACAGAGAGACACCTCTGAGCTGAAGGACAGGGGGAGGAAAAGCTCATTGGTGAGATGTCTGTGTGAAGCAGGTTGGCTGATCTTTGGCATTCATCTTCCCTGTGGATGGGGTAGTTTACTCATAAAGATGAATGTTGTGGCACAGCTGTGTCACTGTGTTCCTTTTTCATACGTCTCACAAGGGTTTTTGTGTTGTGGAGAATATTACCAGAGCTCTTGTCAGAAAGTAGCTGAGTGACACTTCTGCTCTATTTTATTGTCTCTCTGTGAAGTGACAGGATACACCCATGATAAACAGTTGCAGTTACAATAAGATCATCTAATTCTCTTGCTGTCTTGGCAGCTTTTATGCAGTGAATAATATTCCTTTCTGGCAAATTATTTAAGGAATAATGGCAGCTGAGTGCTGAATTGGTGACAATGTGCTTGTGCCTTTGGTTTCATGGCTCATTCTAAGCATATTATGTAACCTCCAGCTTTTTCAGACAGTAGACAGGTCAGATAGTTATGAACATTTTGTTCTCACATCAGCACTAAAAACTTGGCTGTTTAGTGATACAACAATGTCAGAACTAGCTCTTTTCTTTTCAGCATCTTTATAATCACATTAGATGAAATAAACATCATAACATTAGCAGGTCACTTCTCTGCTCTAATGATATCTGTGAGAGGGTGATACATCAGCCTCTCTCTGAGAGCACCTGGCCTTTGCAGTGTGACTGAACACCTTAATGGCACAATGGCTGGGGGAATATTCTACTTCAGCTGGGATTCTGCCTGAAATATTGCCAACAAAAATATCTTATCAGGGATTTGCCCTTTGGAAAGGAAGTTGTGTTGTGCATTTTTTGCTTTCCAATGTTGCAGACGCCAAAATAACAGCCATGCCCAGTAAATTGTTAAATACTGCTTTTAATGGTATGAATCAGGATGCTACTGAAGTGTCTTGAACTTAATAACCACACTTAGAGATATAAAGAAGTCCAGACATGGAAAATGAGGACACCAAACTCCAGGTGGAAAGTATTTTGGACCAAGGGAATACATCAACAGATTAGAAGAGAGAAACATTTTCCTTTCCATTTGATCTCTGTTTTGAAGTGGCCCAGAACTCTGGGATATTGATACTTTCTTTGGCCATGTTAGTCTAAGCTGAAAATGCTACATTCCATCATCTAACAGTACTAAAATAGTAATTTAGTACTAGAATACATGTAGTATTTTACAATACTAAATGCTGCAGATAGGAAGTCTAAAGATCAGATGGCCAAGAGATATTGCTCCTGAATCTCTTGGTGCTTTTGAAATCCTCAGTTACAACCCAGCTCTTTTCCTGCCTGCATCTTTATCCAAGCTGCTTCACCTGTCTGTCTGTTTTCTCCCTACAAAGGGTGGAAAATTAGAGTCACTTATCTGCCACCCAAAGAATGGAACAGATAAATGGGGAAGCATGTTTTAATCAGATAGTGTTTGCAAAGATTTTTTTTTTAAGTTCAAAAAATTATCTTGCAGAGCAAGAGATAAGTAGTATAATAATTATTATTAATTAACTCTTCATCACTGCTATGCTGGAAATACAATACTTGTGCATTTTTTTCTGAAGGAGAGCAGCAAGCAAAGTGATTTCATTACTACAAAGTGACTGAAAGGCACAGTGGATACAGCTTACATGTTCATTGAGAAAACTACACTTGGGTCTCTTTTTTTCCTTCCAATAACCAGTGTGTTGGCTTCTGGAAAGCATAAGAGACTTTCAACATGTTTTTGAAAGAGAAGACAAATAAGGTAGTGGGGACCAGATGTTGCCAGAGTCTTTTATTCCTTTCCTTTTCCTTGCTTGTTACTTTAGGCTCCATGCTGATATGGTGGGGTGTTCTGATGAAAAAGTGGTGAGGAACTAAAAAGCATCAATCTGGTGGAGGAAAAAGGAAGCAATAGAGTTATTTTGGCTTGACAGCAGTAGGAGGAGAGGGAGGCACAGAGGAAAAATGTTATTTTTTTAGGTTTCTTTCAAAATTATTCGGAGCTACTGCTTTGTATGATGGATTGTGAGGAGAACAGATTATATACAGTAAAAGTACATGATCATTTACACTGCTTGCACACAGGGGTTTTCCTTTTCAGTGCAAGACTGAAGAAGATTGAAGCCTCCCAAAGCCACCTGTAACTTTCCTTTTACTGCCAGATAGCTTGCTATGGGTTGAAGCATGTGTAAAGAAGTGATTCAAAAGTCTGGGAGAGTCTTTTCTGGGTGGGTAGTTGGGTGGAACAGCAGAGATGCTGGGAACAAGGATGAAATGTGCTGCTGAGCAGTGCTGCGAGAGCATCCCTGCCCTCAGCATGGTGTCTGAGCAGGCAGGAGTGAGCAACACTGAACTACCAGTGTGGCATCAAGGTCAGTGGTGTCTCTTGCTGCAAAACCTCTGGGTTAAAGTGGCCATTTTAGGTAGGAGAAGACACTTGTCTGCAGAATTACAGACTACAGGGGGAGAAGCCTTTACTCTGGAGTGTTAGGGACAAGTGGGGATAATGTCTATGTCAGATATTTAGGCAGTATCTGCCTGCAAAGACCTGCTTTCTCCCACACCTCTAACTACAAATGTCAGCTTGGAGGGGAGGACTTGGAAGAATTCAGCACTTTTGTGACCACACTTTATGAATAAGGTGATCTAACCTTCCAAGTGTCACTCTGTATAGCAGAGGCTGTGGAGGTGAGCATTTTCCTTCTGTACCATGCAGGAAATGGTTCCCAATTATCCTTCATTGTCAAAAATAACAGGAACTATATTAAATGTCATTGTTCTGACTTCAAAAAGATACCAGACTTTAACCCTCCATCCACTGAAATACATATATAAATGCTAAATTATGTTTCTATATTTGTGTGTTTATTGAATTTTTTTCCTCTTTTAGTCTGTGTCCAATATTAAGGTGCTTTATTTTCAAAAGAAATGTTGGGATAAAGGGTTCAACTGAGAATAAAATCATAGGCTTTTCAGGTTGCCACTGTGACTCAGTATTCCTGCACTATCTATTGATCCAGTTGGCATCACTCACCCCGCATGTTTCTAACTATTGAATTCAAGGGAAAACCTAGCAGCATTGTATTGTCTCTCCCTTATTAAAAAGAGCTGATTATTTTGGAAAATTTGACAAGAATAATTATCTTTTCTCTCCACCCCTTTGAATAAAAATGAACAGTAGTAAAATAAACTAGTATTGTAAAATTCAGTAGTTGAAATTGCATCTTTTGGTTGCCTCTTCTATTTTGCATTTTAATGCAACATTGATGATAACATTTGTCAAAGAAACCTCACAGTCCTTCAGAATCAGAAGGTTTGGCAACAGCATAATTGCTGCAATGTGGGAAAAATATTGTTTGAAATGTACTTATGGATGCAATTTGCTCTGAGGCTTCTCCCCAAAGTGCATGATTTGTCACTTCATCTCTGCTGAAAGAAAACTTTCTTACTCAGCCTGAAGTCACCTCTTCATCAGAGTAAGTCTCCTGCAAGAGATCAGCTCCTGACACTAGGCTGAGGAGCTTGTTACAAGATTTGTAGTTTTACTGAAGGCAGTGTCGAGGATTTGTGTGCTCTCTTAGACCTTGTCAGTGTTGACCAGCCTCACCCAGAGCTCTGCTGTAGTGGGGCTTCAGCTCAGTCACTGCTGTGTCCCTGCTGCTGTGTCCCTGCTTTGCTGCACATCCTGGTCTGGATCCTGACCCAAGAAGGGACCTGCTGCTTGGACCCACACCTGCCTCACCACCACAGTCTTGTCTGATGATCTGAACCTGTGGTTGAGCTCCTCTGCTGCCCCCAGGCATGCCCTGATAGGTGCTGTGGGAGATGACCCTGCCTTAAGAGTTTTCTGCTCTTCTGGCTTCCATGTCAAGCTCAGCTCCCTGTTTTTTAGGGAGCAGCTGGTCCTCACTGTTCCCTAAGACGGAGAGGTAAAAGACTTCAAAAGAAAAAAAGGATACAAATGGTCCTCACTGTTCCCTAAGACGGAGAGGTTAAAGACTTCAAAAAAAAAAAAAAAAGAAAAAAAGGATACAAAGAAATTTGGGGTTGGTCACAGCTAGAAAATCTGTATCAAGTCACTGTTCTTTCATGCTCAGTCTCTACCCAAACCCACTCTCCTCTTCTTCCTTCTCAGCAAAGTGCCTTTGATGGTGTCTGAAATATTTTTATGTATGCCCTATTTATTATTTATTTTTATTCCTGAAATATAACTCTTCTTCCTGTGGTGGAACTGAATAGTTGGTTTGGTAGGGTATTCAAATTTTCTAAATCTCCAAGCTTTTTGCAGAGTATTTTCTTATGGCATTGTTCAGGGCTGTGAATAGCAACCTGCCTCTGAGCAAGATAATGTGGTTATGTGAAGAAATACAGCAATTTTAGCTGAATGCATAGTTTAAATATGTCTGGACTCTGCTATATGAGCTACTATTAGCTGACTCCTTTATTTGCATCTTAACAAAACAAAGCATTAATGGATTTTATTTTCCTAGGAGAGTGCTCCCATCCCTCAGCAGCACGTGACTGGCTGTGCCCTGCACTGCCACGTGCAGTCATGCCTCCTAACTCCCTGCTGGGCTTTGTGTCCTGTCATGTGGATGCTTCTCTGAATGCTTATTTTTCCCATGGCTGCTTCAAATGCACATCTAGAAGTGAAAAGCATTTACTTTCCTCCTCCTTCTCTTCTTCCAGAAACCACTACCGCTGCAGGAGTGCAGCTGCAGGAGGAGGCGTCAGGGGGAGGTTCTACTACACCCTCACCTTCAGCATCAAGTTCCCTCACAAAGATGATGTCTGCTACCTGGCCTACCACTACCCCTACACCTACTCCACAATGATGGTAATGCTGGCATGTCTATTTAGATAAAATGATGGTTGGAGCTGCTTGGGTGTGTGTAGATTTTGAGATGAGACAGAGGATTGATTTCACCTCCTCATCCCTGGGAGTGCTCAGACTCAGGTTGGATGGGGCTTTGAGCAACCTGGTCTAGGGGAATGTGTCCCCCATGGCAGGACACATTCACATCTCATTGGAATGAGATGACCCTTAATGTCCCTTCCCACTGAAACCATTCTGTGATCATGATGGTGTAATTGCCTTGTTTTGCCAGCTGTAAAGCCCTGAATGCTGCAGAAGAAATTTCTCTGTAGGACAAGCTGAGCAAAAACCATTAGTGCTTATACTAGTCATAATACACACCAAAGGTGCCTCCACTCACTTGGGGCATCAGGATCCTCCTGCTGAAGGGCTGGGAAGCAGGGGGCTAAACCTAATGCCAGCAGAGATGTGCTGCCTGATCCTCCTGACACAGGGTACCAGGGCTTTCAGAGCTGCACCCAGCATTACCAGGCTGCTGGACCTCAGCTGCTACTTTACCAGCTCTTTCCTTGGTGCCAGCTGGATTGTCAGTAGGAACTTATGACAGTCCCACCAGTGCTGTCAGTACAGGAACTAAAAGAATACAACTCCACAGCATAAATTTAGTTATTCAGCTATACTAAGTTTTTTTTTACTGGGCACAGGTTTGTTTTCCACAGCCTCTTCTGTGGAAAGGGGTTGGATGGTAAGGGAATTTTCTGGGAAATGCATCCAATGTGCTTCCTCTATAATTGATGTAGGGGAGATAGGATGAAAGAAGTGAAATGAATAGTTCTGGGAGTAGCTTTGCTTTGATGCTAAAGATGAGAACTATGTTACTGCAAATGAAACACACAGTTCCAGCAAATCAGTTTCCTTCCCTTCTCACTTCAGTTTCCATTGTCAACACATTTTGTTTTGAGCAATGCATGCTGGTGTGGGTTGGTGGAGTTTGAGGTCACTGTGTTTTTTATAATGACATCAGTTTGCCATAAGCAGATTTTGGAGGCTGTGCTTTCCAGGGGACATTGTCCTCCCCCAGGGCTCTCTGTGCTGCCTGGCATGCCAGCAGAATTAGGCTTGGATTGTTTCCCACTCAAGCAAGCTTCTTGTCAACTGTTTTGCATCCCATTATAGACATTCAAAGAAACTGCTTCCAATATCTGGGGGAAGGCCAGTCCAGCCCTCAGTCCAAAACATGTCTGTCAGCTCACTTCTCATCAGTTCCTCACCAGTTACTCCCAAAGTTCTGTGGGGAAGAGTGTGTGTTCCCAGGGTGGGGTTTGACCTTTAGCACTGAAGGCACAAATATCTGCAGTCTGCAGAGTAAAAAATACATGCAATGCTGAAGAATGGGTTGGACTTATTCACCACCATACATTTCACATAAATGCAGTGCCTCATCATTATTTTACTGTTATTGATTTCTATCTTTTGCTGGCACAAAGCAAGAGAGACTTGGAGAGTTTGTGTGCTCTGGGAATGACTGAATATCTCACCTGCTCCTGAATGAATAGAATAGAGATGAAAAAGATGTTATTCCTAGGCTTCCAGGGCCAGGTCTTTAAGTATTTCACTGTCTCTTCAAATAAAATGCTCATTGAAGTTAAAGGGAGTTTTGCCCCAGGAAAAGTTTAAATGAACTTGGACACAATAAGGACCATAAAGTTTGGTAAATGGGAATTATGGGTGGAAAAGGCTGATAAATTGCAATGTCCAGCTCCAGCTAAAGTAAAATCACTACTTCTAATAATTCTGGAAGGCTTCTTTGCTTGAGCTAATTTAAAATGTCAAGTGATGCACTATACACATCTCTGTTTTACTTTTATTTCCACAGTAAATAAACTAAATCAGGTTTGTGCATCAGTAAATTGCATTTTAAAGCATTTGTCCACTGGTGAAATGTGTTGGTTTTACATATCAATAATAAATTAAAACTGATTATGAACCCAAGGGCTCAATTAAAGACATAGTGCTTTGGGGAAGAAGATAAACTTGTATATGGAGTTAGTAATTTGAAAATGTTTTTAAATATCATATATATTTAATGGTTATAGGCATATTTGCAGGAAATATTGTAGAATCCTATTTGAACTGGATGCACTCTGCAGTTCATTACTTCTTGTCCGTTAGTAATTACATTTCTTTTATGAACAGTAATTTATCTATTTTTACATCACAGTATTAATTGTTTTGATATCTAGCTGAAATCTCTGTGGTAGCTATACCCAATTAAGTTTCACTGGGTACCAGGAACATAAGTAAATGATGATATCGAGTTCTCTGTACCTATGTGAGATTGTTAAATGCATTTAATAATTGTATTTACTTTATAGAGCTGTATTTTAATTGTTTTATAACATAGCTGACTGTAAATTTCAGTTCTGTATTTACACAGCTCTATTAGAATGCTGAGAAAGCAGTCTGAAGAATGGTGAGCTCCAAGATTTGATAAACAAGAACATGGTGTCCCATAAATGTAGATTAAATTTGAACCTGTGAGGGTCATTGAGTGAACTGAATTCTTTTAGTTTTTGTTAGGACAAGTGTGCTCACTGCACCTATTCCTACCCATTGAGAGACAACTGGTGCTCCCCAGCACTCCCAGGGGCAGTGCTCACACTCAGCTGCACTGCAAACAGAGCCACACTTCATCTGCTGGGTGGGTGACAAGAGGCTCCGTGTCTAATGAGGCAATGGGAATTTGTTCCAAAAAGTCTTTCTTCTAAGCTGCCAGTTCTCTTCCTCAAATTTCTCAAGAAGCTGTTGGTCTTTAGAATTATTTAAAGCTGTCATAAATTTTGGGGGGTGGGTAGAAAATCTCTCTTTTTAAATAACTTCTTGGAAAGACACTCTTCAAATTTCCCACTACTGATTGTACAAAATGTTGTTTCGATATAAACTTCTTGGCTGCCTCTGATATGGAGTTGTCACTGAGTTTCATTGGCATGTGCTTGACAGCTAGGCAATCAATTCTGTAAATGTTCAAAAGTGGTGAGTTTTCTCACGTTTCTACAAAACCCTTATTAAAACATAGAGTAAATGCTTCTCTTTTGGATTTCATGTATGCATAGAAATTTCATTATGCTAACAAAAGCACCTAAGAACTGTTCAGGCAAAATTATAAATAGTTTGGGCTGGAAGGGACATTTAAAGGTCATGTGGTCCAACCCCTCTGCAATAATAAAGGGGCATCCTCGAGTAGATAATGATATAAGAATAAATATTCTGTGCAGCTTCAGTGAACTGGGATGCATTGTGAATGGCTTGTGCATATTTGTAGGATGTAAAAGGTGCTGATATTAACTGGCAGAAGAGAGGAGTGGGGAAGTTAGCAAGATATGACATTAGTATCAAAAGTAATATACAGCTACTAGAATAAAATCATGTTTTATAGACTGTGAACTCCTTTATAAATCTGCTTCCTTGCTTCTTTTTCAGTCCCATCTTGATATCCTGGAACAAAATAGGAACCCTAAGAAGGTTTACTGGAGGCAGCAGGCACTCTGCCAGACTCTAGGAGGAAATCCATGCCCACTGCTCACAATCACTGCCATGCCTGAGTCTAAAAACAGAGATGACCTGGAGCAGTTCTGTAAGTAGCCCAATGAAGCATTAAAAAAGATGCTGGTGAGTTGTGCTCATGTCAGCAGTGGCAGTAACAACATCTTTTGTGAGCATGCTGATTTTGTTGTCTTTCTTGTTTTGGAAAAAGGAATATAAATATGAAGAATAGCCATTTGTGATCTCTTTAAAAATTACAGGTTTGCATGGAAGAGGGAGGAGAACCGATACCATTTTGTACTTCTAATTTCTCTTCTATGATGTGAAACATTTGAAAAATTCAAAATAAAATATGTCCTAGAGCAAAAAAAACCTGTGAAATAACTAATTCAACAAGATTTTTTTCTTAAATTTTGTTTACTACAAAAAAATTTGTGTTATGAAGTCTTAAATTTGAAAAAAAGAAATCCCCAAAACAAGATAACTCATTCTGAGCTGGACCAGAAATTGAAGTCTTCTGGTGAAATTCCAGCTCCTGCAGTGTGCCCAGTAGATCCATCTGGAACACAGTATATCTCATTGCATTCTGTCTGAGACCATACTGATATGTACTGTTTAATAGTAAATATTAGAATTGCCATTTTATATCAAGAGCTGATTTTTCATTGTGAGAGCCAAAGATTCAGACCTTCAATGGCCCTGATGAACAAGATTAAGATACGCATGTTTCTGTAACTCAATAGCAAGAGTTAAGATTCTGATTAGCATCACTTTGGGTTAGCTTTTATTTTAAAGCCTAAATCATTAACTACTTATGTGTAGGTTGATTTTTTTTTTTTAATTGGGAACAAGGTGTACAGTGATTTTTTTTCTCTCTTCAAACATAACACAGGTTGAGACCTTTGAGGCTTGTAAATATTTAAGTTGTCTTAAGATCTTTTTATATGTTAAGTAAATAGTTTTAATTACCTCACTTAGATACTAGGCTAGAATAATCCAAAGGGATTCTGTGACCTGAACCACAGTTCTTATTGCAGACTTGTCCTTCTAAACTAAAAGAGGTGAAATATGAGAGTTGGTGAAAGTTATTGCTATATTTTTTGGTCCAGATTTAGAGCAGAGTGACTGCAGCCATGCTGACATTACTGTGTAATCATCTACATCTCATGCCTTTTTACTGTAATAACTTGATTACAAATTCAGCTTTTACCTTGGAGTAGCAAATTTGTATTGTGAACATGCTTTTCTTCGTTCAAATACTAAAGCAAAATAGCCAAGTACAGGCTACATAATTTTTAGGGGGATTTATAATGTGCATGCACAGCTTTAATCGTGGCTGTCCATGCCTGGCTTGAAGAGAGAATTCCTGCCTTTAAGCACTTTTTTTTCCATTATAATGATGACACAGAAAATCAGTGGGAGTTTGGGAGGGGGAGGTTTGTTACCTAAAGTGGCCTTTGGACATGGCAGTGATCACCTGGTCAGATGTTATTTGCTGACACCTCATGGCTGAAGGTCTCAAGGGGGCAACTGAAAGTAAGATGGAATATTTTATTTGAGAATTGGAGCCATCTGGAAGAGGCATGCAGTGAACAAGATTTCCTACCCAAGTAAGAAGCCCTTTCCAATGGTGGTACAAAGCAAAAACTGAGCTACCATTTGGGTTTATCTAAGCAAGGACTTGGAGTGAATCAGTCACATGAGTCACTATCCTCAACACTGGAATTTTGCTCTTTTGGTTTTGAAAGGACTTTCAGAAAGGAGTGTTTTGTGATAGGAAAGCAAAAAAAAAAATTTCAAGAAAGTATTGTGATATAAATGTGCTCATGTTGGGAGGCATGGCCATTTTCTGGAGCACTGTATTCTCAGAGTATATTAGATTCCTTCTTGCAGTGTTAGAAGAAAGCCTGGCAGGTTTTCAAAGGTTGTTAACCTGTCTACATAGACAAGGCTTGGCTTGCTTTTTCAGCCCAGGTTTGCTGAAAGATTCATAAGGCATCTATGAATACTTTTTCCAAATGCTTCAGAATTTTAACATACTGCACCTAGGTTCAAATCCCAATTATGTTGCTTAAGTCCTCTTTATTTTCAATAGAAATAAATATCTCCTGCCTTGTCGTAGTACATGAAGCCAGTGGGAGCTTGTAGTTCTCCCTGAAATGCCATGAAATCCTGTGCCACTAACCCCTTCTGAAGTGTTGCACTAAAGATTGCAGACTTCCTATCCATGAGCCCATGGATCTCAAAACAGAACATGTAGAAACCTCAGTTGTCCAACTGAAAGAGAAGTTTTTGGGGGAAAGACATTGTCAAGGTGACACAGTTTCACTCAAGTTTTCAAGACTGAACAAGTAAACACCAATACTCTTAAGTGATGAAAATATTTATTGTTCTATCAAGTGAAAGAACAGCAAGGCAGCACACCATGTTTTATGCTGTGGGGATGCCTGTAGGCAAATCTGAATAATCATGTATGTGCTTATTTTGTTTGAGTAGCTTGGATAATTATGGCTTTTGGGGAGGCACTTAGTCTAATTTGTGCTGCTTTGTGTTGCTTTGATCAGCAGTTACTTCTCAGTTTCCTCATTTTGTATGACATACCCATCTTTCTGAGAAGTGTTTTGGCTGATGGAAGGACCTGTTTGTCAATGTTTTCCATGCTAAAAACATAACTCAAGAGCGACAACTTAGAGCTAAATATGAAGAGACCAAAGGGTGGAGGATTTCCCTGCAATAAATCCCATGGCTTTGTTCAGTCTCCATGGGTATTCCAGCTTGAGAAGGAACGTGGAGCTCCAGCACTGGGGAACCTGGCATATAGATAATGAATAAAAATGGACAGCCCTTGTTTTTCCTTCTGGTTCAGGACAATGCACAGTTTTCATGAGCTATAGTCATTTTGATTTCCTATCAAACTTAGGTTGCCTTTGTTATGTGTGTCAATCTGTACCATGAGAATTTCTTTCCAGCAATGCCAGTGGCACAAATCTCAGCAGGACTTTGTAGCTCCTGCACATGATCATACTGAAACAGTCTAAATCTTTCTCAAGTATAGACATGTGGGGATAAGGAAACATCAGATAAAGAGGCACAGGGTGAGTGAGGAGTACTGGGGAAGGCAGCAGGATCAGCCTGGTAGGAGTGCAGTGGGAAGGAGTTATTTTGTATTGGAAGTGCCTGTGGAGAGTGAGGGCACGGCATCTCTGTGTCAGCTGTGCTTTACTTCCCTTCCTCAACTCCTTCAGATTGCTCTTGTCAGGCTTTTGATTAATGTGGTCCTAGGATGGTTAAATTTGTCTGAGTTAAATTTATTAACGTGCACCTTGTTAATAGGAAGCACAAGCCATGCTGAAGGGAAGAAAAATGGGCTACTTCTCTCCTTCATTATGCCTTGTTTGTGTGAGGCTTTGATATTCGCTTTAGGCTCCTTTCTCCTTCCATTCTTTATATCTGCCCTTTATATGATGGTGGTGTACTGAATAATTTTTATTAAATGTTCAGTTCTGAATTTGACACAAAGACAGAAGTGAGCTGGGAGCTCTTTGGCTTCCTGTGCTTTTACTCTTCATGCAACCACTCAGTTACAATCAGCACAACCTCAACTGAAACTTGATCCATGTCTGTAGGTACCTGGGCTGGTCAGTGGTCCCTGCTGGGCTTTGCAGCTCCATAGACTCGAACAAATAGAGACTGAGAGGGTCTATTTTGGATTTTGTGGTTGCTTCTTAACTTTAAACTTGCCCTTCCTGCCATCAGATGGAGAAGACTCAGCATCCAGCTAGTACAGATATCCTTAATACCCATGATAAGTGCAATATCCTCCGTGGTCTTGTGATAAAGGTAAAATCATTCTGGCTTTATTTCTGGCTATGTTAGGTCTGCCTGATGAGAGTTAAAGGGACTTCTGAAGGGAGAGCAATTCCTAATATCTTTCAGAGCATTCTCAAATGAATGCAGAAACAAAAAAATTCCAAATCTTGGTGCCACCTCCTTGCTTGATGAATTAATAGGTGTTTGCAGAGCTCTGATTCTTCTTGTTTGCCATGTACACAGAGCCCAGTGAAGGCAGTGCTAGCAGCATGTATGTGTACTCAGCAATAGTTTGCAAACTCTTAATTCACAATATTATTTATGCATGTGTGCAGTGTGTAATTCCACTAAACTCCCTGGCAGACAGCTGAGTAGACCCTGCAAGCAATACTGTTGTAAGTGACAGAGCAAATGGACAGATTAACTTTTCAGAGAAGTGTAAGGAAAATATCTAAACACTGACACACAGGCAATGATAAAATTGTCTTTTTGTTAAGAAATAAAGGACATTGATATGTTGCTAATGTTAACAGAGTGGTGGAATTTAAACCACCAAAAGCAAAATTATTGGTCAAAAGAGAACAGTGTACACTCTAGACTGCCATGTGAGTGTTTTTCAGGAGGTGTTTCCTGGCAGTACCCTGAGTTGTGGTGGATTTTCTCTCAAAGGAAAATATCTAAACACTGACACACAGGCAATGATAAAATTGTCTTTTTGTTAAGAAATAAAGGACATTGATATGTTGCTAATGTTAACAGAGTGGTGGAATTTAAACCACCAAAAGCAAAATTATTGGTCAAAAGAGAACAGTGTACACTCTAGACTGCCATGTGAGTGTTTTTCAGGGTGTTTTCTGGCTGTACCCTGAGTTGTGGCGGATTTGCTCTCCCCTTTAGTCAGAGAAGGGAAGGGGCAGGGCACCTCTGAGATGTGATGTAGTGTAGGTGCCATTCTGGTTAGTGCTAACACAGAGTAATGACTCAAACAGTCCCAAAGGAATTGCACAACTCTCTTCATGGCTGGTTGTACTGTTGTCATCCCCATTAATAATAGTGGTTATTCAGTGTGTTGTGTATTCCAGAGTCAACACACCTAATGAGTATTCTTTTAGCCGTGGGTAGCATTATAGATCTGAATTTTGTGGTTTAAAGTTAACCCAGATTGTCCCAGATAATTAGCAGCAGAGGTGAGGGAAATTAAACAAAAATGACACTAGCAAATGCATTTACATCTGTAATATCTGTCACTTTGAGTTGCTCTACTGTCATCATATGTCCTCT